AACTATTCGTTATGTTGAAATGTACTCATATTTCAATATGTCCGAAGTAATTAAAAGTCTTCAAACTTGAATCGAAAGTTTTCCCTTATATTGCTAGAAAATTGTATGACAGTTTTAAAAACTGTTACATAGACTTACTTTCTGATCAATTTTGAATGGAAATAGTTTAAAAAAGTTCGTGGAAAACTTAGAAAGAATTGAAAAAGTACTGGACGAGCAGATACCCTGTAGAAAGCTTGTTCAGACTAGCTCGAGAATTCTTAAGACTATACGAACTGATAGTCATTAAAAGTGTTATATGCCTTAACTCTTATTCGATCAACATGGCTGGAAGATACTCTATTCGTGAGGAAGCACAAAAGGTAGTCAAGGGCTGGAAGAGTGCATTGGACTCTAAATATGTAGAGGAATTTAAAGTGTTATACGTGCAGACAACCTTTATATACTTATATTGAACGGCAGCAAAATCTATATGTTTAGTCAGTGTATGCCATGCATTGTCTAGTTTTGATTACAGGGTATCTCATTGTTGTCAGTCAACATGGCAATTAGCTGAGGTGTCGGCCATGGAAGATATATACGTAATATATATGCGAAAGTCTTGCTAGAAATAATTGCTAGAAATACACACATACAGAGAGAGAGAGAGGGAGAGAGAGAGAGAGAGAGAGAGGGGAGAGAGAGAGCGAGCGAGAGAGGAAGAGAGAAAGTTTTCGAACTTAGTTTTTGACAGAGCAGGATTTTCTGACAAGACGTGTGCATGTGTGTGTGTGTGTGTGTGTGTGTGTGTGTGTGTATGTGAGTGTGGCAAGCTGTTGGCTTTGCCACAGTTGAAATGGCAGACCCGAAATTGCTGCCATGCTAAATAATGTAGTGCAATTCAATTAAAATGCAAATACCGCAAGAGGTGGGGCTGGTGGGGCTGGCCGGGCTGGTCGGGCAGCAGCTGGAGCTGCGTCATTTGAGCCATAAATGGCGCAAAGTTTTAACCACTTGATTGAGCTGCAAATTTGATGTGGCATGCGGCCGCATGTTGGCCCCATATAAAGAAGCTGCTGCTGTTGCTGCCGCTGACATGCGTGGCAAAGTTGGCAATAAAATGCTCTGTGTGTGTGTGTGTGTGGCAGCAACTATGATCTAATTAAGGTTCGCGTTTACCGCAACATGTAGCAGACGGCATGTAGCATCTAGCTTGTAGCATGTCGACTGTAGCTTATGCCATGTTATGCGCCGTCGTCTGCTGCTGGCTCTTGTCTGCTGTCTAAAAGCAATGCGCACAGCTGCTGCCCACGTGCCTAGGGCGCCCACACAGCACACACGTACACACACAGAGAGAGAGCGAGGGCAAGACAGTCATAAAACAGCAGCAGCAGGAGGAGTAGTTGCTGTTGCCGGAAACGGAAACGCTCATGAAGCTAGACTCGGGGCTTGACGCTCTTGGTCGTCTGCCTAATTCAAATTTGAATAACTCGCAATGTGCGCCGCTAAGTAGGCTATGAATTTTGGCCACTGCTGGCGCGGCTGCTGCTGCTACTCCTGCTGCTCCTGCTGCTCCTGCTGCTGTTGCTCATCTTGTTGTTTTCGTTGTTGTCCATTTTGCGGCTGTGCTGCACGCTCCTTCTTGTTAATGCCCTATGTGCCACGCACACTTACGCAAAAAGTAAAGGTTTATTTTAAGCCAATTTAGCGGCAGAAAGATTATTTCTGCGAGTGCTTAGTCGAGCAGCTGATAGGCAGATAGATACCTCTTAACGAGGTCACTGCTATGGTTGTATGGAGAAATGGCCATAGTAGTAGCAGTTGTAGTCTTACCAATAGTATGAGTAGGGGAAGTATAAGTAGTAGAGTCGGAACAATATTTAGTAGTAGTAGTAGTAGAATTAGTAGTTGTATATAGTAGTAAAAATGGTAGTAGTATGTACTAGTGATAGTAGAAATATGTTGTAGTAGAAATAGTAGCTGTATGTAGTAGTAGAAATAGTAGCTGTATGTAGTATTAAAAATGGTAGTAGTATGTACTAGTAATAGTAGAAGTATGTTGTAGTAGAAATAGTAGCTGTATGTAGTGGTAAAAAGAGTAGAAATAGTAATAGTAATAGTAGGATTGTGTTTTAGTAGAATTAGTTGTAGTATGTAGTTGTAGAAATAGCAGTAATCTTCGTTATAGTGGTAGTATGTAATGGCAGAAATACCAGTATAATGTAGTTGTCATAGTAGTAATAATAATAAAAAGTAGTAGAAATAGTAGTCACAGTGATATGTATTGTCGTATCAGTAATAGTAATAATAACAAAACGTAGTAGAAATAGTAGTCATAGCAGTAATAGTAGTATATAGTAGCAATAATAGTAGTATATAGTAGTTTTAGTAGTAATAATAATAGAAGGTCTAATAATAGTAGTAGCTTTAACAAATAATAGTAGAAATCGTAGTCATTGTAAAACTGTAGTAGACATGTTGTAGAAAAGGCATATTTCATTATAAAATAACATATCAAATTGATCAGCCTGAAAATGGGAAATTAAAATGCCCCTATTACGCATGATTTATTTTTGCAGGGTATACAAATGCCACGTAAATGGCACCCAAACATGCGAACTCTCATCTCATATCAGATATGACTTATATATTTGCAATTCGCTGTCCATCGTCGATCATACCTTTGCTCTTTTCCCTTTACAGGGTATTTCATGAACTGCTCGATGCTCAGCTCGCTAGCCGAGTTGTGTAACCGATTCCGGTCAGATTTCTGCGTCACGTTGCATAAAAGGAAGGAGCGGGGGCAAATGGATAGGCGGGTGCACAAGACTCTCCTCACCCTCTGCTCCACCCCCATCCCCGTTATTCCTTTTTTTTTTGTTTTCTTTTTTTGATTATGCCACACAAATTATTTGTTCCGTTTCGTATTTTTTTTTTTTTTTTTAAGACCAGTTAAGCCACAGGCAAAGGCGTTGCCGTCATGACCATTTTAGGCAAATTGGATTTACGTAGCACTCGCTGCACATACGAAAGCGTCTCTGTCTCTGCTCTCTCTCTCTCTCTCTCTCTCTCTCTATTCGACTGTGCCTTATATAATATAGCGCGCCTCGCTTAGCTGTCAGAAACATAAATTTTCGTTTGATTTTCTTTAGGATTTCATTGAGCTGCCCGCGGCAGTGGCTAAGAGATTGCAGCTGCAGTTTACCTTGCGAGGGGTAGAGTGAATAGATGGTGGAGCAGGGGGGGAGGGCGAAAGCCAGTTAAACAGAGAGGGATGGTTTGAGAGAATCTTAAAGTCGATTGTATTTCGTTTAGGCTGTAATTCGATATGATCCATTTTCAATATGTGACAAAAATCAAACTCGTTGAACTCGAGGGCAATCGAACGATGGGGAGCGGTGGGGGGGGGAGGAGTAGGAGATGTGCAGAAGGCGGTCTTTCATCATCTATAGCCATTCCGTTGATGGCTTGAGTATGCCGGCCTACAAATCTCTGGGCTGGCATTTCATTTGCCATTTGTTTGGCTGTCTATCAGCTTTGACACTTTTACGCCACAATTCGCCAGCGCCGTGGAGCCCGCCTCCAGCCACTTGTCTCGGAAGACGACAGAGCATTAAACCAATTGGCCATTACACCATGCTCCGTTGCCCCGACACCCGAGACCCGAGACCGAGGCAGCTTGGCCAGGACTGGGCTTAAGGGTCGTCTATCAATCATATGTCAGCAGCAAAAAGAAAGAAAGAAAAAAAAGAAAAAGAAAAATAAAAAATAAAAATAAATATCTGTGATGGGCCGATGACGATGACAATGTGCGCCGCTTGTGCCCACATACCCAGCGAAAGTTATCGCCCACCAAAAAGTTATCGAGCTCTCTAATGTGTGTGCGGCCCCTATCGATGGCCCGGTCGCAATTTGCATTTGACGTCAGCTCTTAATGCGTTTTGGCGGTTACCCATGCTAAAATCACAGCAGCAAAAAAACAGGCCACAAATTGAATCTCTAAAGTGCGTGCCCCAAAGCAACGCACGAGTGTGTGTGTGTGTATGTGTGTGTATGTGTGTGAGTGAGGGGGTGTATGTGTGCGTGGGTGCATATAATGTTCAACAAAAACAATTTTTATGCAAAGCCTGGGAATTATATTTAGCTCAACTCGGAGCTGTTATTGATACCCTAACATTTTACACAACACAACAGAGAGAAGCAATCAAAAGTGTGATAAGCCTTACATTTGCTCTTTTCAAAAATTTATTATTTGTTATGCATAAGTGAACCGCAGCAGAGAATAGCAATCAGTTCTGTATGTGATAAGTTCTATCTGAACTCAACTCGCACAAATTTCGGCTATTACTTTATTAAACTTCTTAGTTGGTTTTAGCAATACTTTTCTGAACCACACCAAAAAGAAGCAACCAATAGAATGATAAGTTCTATGTGAGCGAAAGAACTTTACTTTAACATTTGTTTTTAACTTCTTCGTTAGCTGCTCGCTTTAGTTATTCATTTCAGAATATAAGAAGGGAGAAGCAAACAACAGAGCCATAAGTTCTTTGTAAACTGCATATGGCTAATAAAACGTGACTTTTATTTTTCTTAGTGTCTCACTTAGCTTCTCGCTTAAACTTTTAAGATCTTGTTTTACATTCTATTCTGCTTAACTTATCTATTCTTTTTTTTCATTACTCACTTCTCACTGCTTTTATTTTCCTGCGCTTTTTCATACGAGCTTCTCTCATTGCATCGTTTGCTTCTCACTTTTTCAGTGATTTCTCGCCCATTTTCTTGCTTTCCTGATCTTGGGCTAAGTCTCATGCTCGCTCTACTTTGAACTTATTGTATTGCTTCTCTCCTGTCTTCTGCTACAAATTGCAGCAGGCTTTGCTCTCTTTTTTATAACACTTCAATCACATCGCAATCAATATCCCATTGCTTCAACTGTCATGGCTTCAGGCCTAGGCATATGCCGCTCGACTGAACAGAGCTCAGTTTCATTTTAGGTTTCGTTTCGTTCGTATTCAAAAACACAAAATTTATTTATTTATTATTTTTATTTATTTTTTTTTTTGTGAAATTGTGGAAAATACATATATATATATATATATTGCGATTTTTGATGGCTCAGGTGAGTTGCGTTGCGCATTGCACATTATGCACATCTACATATATATCGCGTTTATTCAAGGACCATTTCGAAGCTCGAACACATTGAAGACGTTGGAGTTATAAATCAGCATACTACCATACATAGATCGGCATCGATGCACCACTGACAAGTTACTACACAAACCACATTTGTTGTGTTCTTAATGGTTGACAATAAGTGACACAGGTCTTTACCACAATCCTTGACTAGATTGAAAATGAGAGGGGTCTTTCGCGACGACAAACACTTTTCCGCCATGTAAGTATGAGACGCCTAAAATGCTCTTCACAATTAAAGCAGCGAACTAATTGCAGTCAGTGTTGAACAATAACTCGATACTGTTGTTTAATGGTTTTTGGATTCCCATTCAGCGTTGAATCCAGTGCAGAAGAAATGCCAAAAAAAAAAAAAAAAATAAAATCAAATCTGAAAAAAACTTCTTCTCTGCTATATAAAGCATGAGAAGAACATTGCTGGGCAGAGCTTTAAAAAAAAGAACAGTTACTGAATTATGTATTTAGTGTGAGTGGCACTTGAAGTGCGACTCGAACTCATTGTTGAATTGACTGCAGAAGAAATGTAAAAAAAAGTAAAATCAGATCAGAAAATAAAATTCTCTGCTATGCAAAGCATGAGAAGATAAGTGTTGGACAACGCTTACAAAAAAAAAATATTTGCTGTCTTTTTAATTATTTAGCATGAGTGACATTTCGAGTGTGACTCGAACAAGTCTATTTCCCCATTGTGTTGGCCAAATATTTTGACGTGTGCGCCGCGTCAATTTGCTCGCGTTACGTATACGCCGCATGCGGTCGCAATGCTAACTGCAAATCAATCGGCAAATGGCCATCAATTGTTAATTTGTGTGTGAAATGCGAATTGCAGTTGGGGCACGTGAATCGTGAGGCTACAAATGACAAGTGAATGGCAACGGACGCACAGCACGCGAGCCACGTAACGCAGCAGTCGCCCTTCCTGCCCATCTGTTCGGTATCCCAACGGGGCTCAACTGCATCATAGCAGCTATATGTCAAATTCCAGAATTTCGTTTATTTTTTTCTTCTTTTTTTTTTTATTTTTATTTTGGCATTGTCAAAAGTCTGTCAAACTTGATTTTCATTTGGGCCCACAGCGTACTGTGTGCGATTTTAGCTCTAGGACTGTGCCAGCAATTCGACTTTCTTTTGGCTATGTAATTGATTTCCTAATTGAAATGATTTCTCATATTCGTTTCGCTCAGGTATTGGCATAGCTTTGAGCTAGCGGTTTCAATTGAAATTCAATTGGCGTGAAAGCGCGAGTATATCACAATTGAAGCTGAAGCTTGACGTGGGGAACGGCTCGAACCGGCTCGAATATCGGATTTTATATGTATGCAGATAAATATATGTATATATACATTCTTATATATGCATATTTTTATTCTCATAATTACTTAATTATCATATGCATATGCAAAGAAAGTATTTATTGAATTGTTTATCTGCATGATTGAACTTAGTCGTTCTTAGTCGATCCATCTGTCCGTTTGTATGAAAGCGTCGATCTCTGGTCCTAGAAAAGCTACATACTTGAAATTTGTTGTCCTCACATAACATGCGCTTGACGAGTTTGTTTCAAACTATCGATAACTGTTGCTGCTTTATTAATATCGATAAAAAGCCTTATGAAAAGTCAGTTTTCAAATTAAATCTCATACATCTTTGGAGCTAATGTCTCCAAATATTGCATATAGATTTATGTGTATTTTATAAAATTAGATTTTGATTTAAATTTTTTCTTTCTTAGGGCTTGATTAGATTTGAATATGTTTTCCGATGTGAAACGGTTCGCTGTTCACACATTCTGAATTTCACTCAACGCAAAGTTTCCATACAATGAATAAATATGTGTTTGGCTCACACATGTGAGCTGTACTCCATTTGAGCCGGTCGAAACGGTTATGCATGCCAGCACACACAGATTTGCCCGTTAGCTGCATTACTTTGCTAATTATTGATTATGTTGCGGCTGCAAGCAGGAGTTGTGCTCGAGTTTCGAACTGGTTCGATGCACGGGCCGAGCCTTTTGTGGCGCATAATGTGACAGTCGGGGAGAGTGAGCCAATCATGCAGAGATTCTCTATTTCCGGCGTCCTTCAAAGCATTTTCCGCTTGCACAACAGCTGGACTGCATGTGGCATCCACTGGCTGTGGTTATGACTGTGGCAGTTGCCGCTGCTGCTGCCGCTGCTGCTGCTGTTGCTGTTGTTGTGGCAGCTGCATTGACGCATTGTTGGCTGGGTTTATTTGTCCGTTAGATGGCCGCAACAACGCGACGACGCGACGCTGCTTTTATAAGCAGTTGTGGCAAAAGAAACAAAGGATGACCAACAAGGATATAAACGACAACAGCAATAGCTGCCACACGGGCACATGCCGCATGCCACATGCCACATGCCACATGCCACACCCCCTAACCAGCATGCACCAGCGGCTTCGCTCTGGCTCGCTAACGCTCTTTGGGGATATGGCCAATGGCCAACCAATGTGCATGCAACACGCTGTTGCCGCAGCAGCAGCAGCAGCAGCAGCGCAGCAGCAGCAGCTGTTGCAGGTGCAGCTCAGCTCAGCTCGACTTGTTTACGCTAATTATATTTTATGACGCAAGCCAAACAGACCAGGCACAGGTCAAATGGGCAAAGCTATTTTCAGTTGCAGAGTCGAGTCTCTCCGGGCAGTGGATGAAACGTAATACGAATGAATAAACAGTAATACGAGTGGATAAAAGGAATAAGAGCTAGCTTAAGTGTGCCAATTCCATTTGTTTCCGCACAAAAAACTTTCAGTTTGAGCACAGCTTAGACACGGCCTTCATATGCAACAGCTTCTCACCGATTTGCTTCTTGTCGAAGCAGATAACTTGTGCCAATTCCATTTGTTTCAGCATCAAATATGAAAGAAGATTTATTGACGTCATTATGTGCAGCGAAATGATTGTCTAAATTTAATTGGCTATAGTTTAGTGGTACTGAAAGTGTTCCAATTCCAAGTGTTTCTCAATAACATATATTTAGCTTCGGGTTCTGCTATGATGTTGGGGGAAATAGGAACATATTTCAGTTCATTCATAAATTTTGCAGTTTAATACAGTGTGCCAATTCCATTTGTCCTTGCAACTAAACAGTTTAGCTTTATAAGCTGACTTATTCAATTTAATTTTTAAGTGCACCACTGAAAAAATGCGATTGCACAATTCGTTTTTAATGTGAAAGAATATATTCCAATTCCATTTGTTTTTGGCTCTTAGCTCTTGGCTCTCTGCGAGTGAGATTGTGTTAGCTTTTGTTTATTGTAAAAAACAACGTTTCAATTCCACTTGCTCCTTTTACTACTTATTGGCTTAAATTTGGGAAATATTTCATAAAGTCTAGATCACGTAATGTGTGTTTCAGTTTCATTTGTTTCATCGCATTATTTAATTATTATTTAAAGCTTTAACTGTTAGCTGTTTCTGTTCCATTTGTTTCCATACTACATTATGTGGTGCTACTTTTGTGCATTTGCCAAATGGCACTGTCGAACCATCTAAAAAAATCTTGAATATTTGTTAATTTGTTATTTGGATTTTTGGCTTTTTTCGGGTTTAGCTTTAGCTTTGGCTTTTTTTTTTTTGGAGTCAGCTGTATCGCATCGAGGCCATCAATTTTGTTCATTGCATGAGAATTAAGTGCCACAATCCTCGTCATTGTCATTGTGTCGATGGTGCGCAGGGCGGGGAGGGAAAGGCAGGACCAGAGCTTGGCGACAAGTCAAGGAACACATTTGACTTTATTTTTTTTTATCTTTGCTTTCTATTTGAATTTGTTGCGCATCGTTTCGCATTTCGTTTTTATTTTTTTGTTTTTGTCTGTGGATGGGGGCGTGATTTTTAACGCATTTTTTATTTATATTGTTGTTGCTTCTGCTGTCTTTTTTCCGGTTTGATTTTTCTCCAGCTGCTCGGGCCGGGCGCCTCGCTGCTCGGCTCTCGCTGGCCCTTGGCTAAATATGTATATGTCTGCCTTTTGGTTTATTTGTTCGCGCTGATGCTCGTTGAGCCTAAATGGAGGACACTTGAGGCATCATTAACGATGTCAATGCCGACAATAAGGTCAGCAAATAAACATTATAAACATTAGCATGAAAATGCAAACTGCTCACGGTCACGGCCTGGTCAAGTGGACGACGAATTGAAGAGAGGAGCTTCCCTTTCCAGCCTCGAAAGTTGACCCAGAAGAAAGTTGACTTTCTATTCTGCTGCTGCTTATTTGCATTTGATGCTCGATTGCTAATTGTCTGTGTGAGCGGGGCTTAGCCCCAAATGGATATTGGATTGAAGCAGCAATTGCCTGCCTTTGCCTCCTGCCCTTCGCACTCCTATCCGTGGACTCCCAATGGCGCCAACTGCTGCTGGCTTGTTATCAATGCTGTATGCTCAGCCTCACAGAGCACAAAGCGACGAAGTCAAGTGAAACAACAATAGGCAATCGAGTTGATGGAACGCCCAGAAATCAAACACCAGTGAGGAAAGCCAACAGGGGGATAGAAATCCAAAACTGCGCACTTGTAATACCTTTTCTATCTAATTCAAATCAGATTTAGACGTGTGGAATTGAGATTTGCATGCAAGGAACACACGGAATGGAAAATCACAAGTAAACATTCAACAAGCAATGCAACATTTTGTATTGAGATTCATGATATAGTTAGAAATAGTTAAAGAAATTCAACAATCTGGGACGAGTGGAATTGGGTTCTTTTTTCGTTTAAGTAGTTAACTTTACTCCACAGCAAGATTGTAAATCGACTTGAAATATTTATAAGCACTACGAAAGTGTTCGAAAGGCCAATTGGAACATGTGGAATTGGGATTTTCGTAAGCAGCTCCAAGGCACTGGATTAGGAGTCCCGAATTCAATGCTGGGGCTTACAATATTCAAATTAATTTAATTTGCACTTTGGAATATGTGGAATTGGGATTTCAGTAAACGATTTGTAAGTGCTCAAACAGTTGGCAGGAACATCGGGATTGTAGTAGTTAGACGTAGCAATCTGAAACATATGGAAGTAGAATTGTTCATAAAAATTTCACTTACAAATGTTTCAGATAGCCTAGTTTCAAATAGTTGTTCTTTTGCCATTTGAGCTATCTGGAACATGTGCAATTGATATTTTATTAAAGCTCAATGGCAAGAGGGAATGTTGGCAAATGGAATCTACATCTGTACAAATGGAGCTTGAACCATTCAGAAGATCACCGGGAATAAGTGGAATTGGAATATTCAAAAGCAATATGGAACATGCGGGATCGGAGGTTGAGCAACATGTCGAATTCGGCTCTTAAATGGTGGGGAACATGTGGAAACGGCCCGACTTATCCGGAACACAGGGCATTGAGATGCATCGATACTCAGCTGTGTAGAGGCGGAACAGATGGAATTAGAATGGCCAAGAGCACAAATATTCCCACATGAATATGCTTACAGCTAAACAATCCAGAATCGATGGGTTGATTATATTTGCCAGGCAACAGCTCGAACGAGCTGTCAGCCCTATCTATGGACAGCTATGGGAC